GGCGTCCGGCGCAAAGAACTGACACAGCACTGGGAAAGGCCTTCCTGCAATAAAGCTATGAAACCCCGTGCTCAGCAACAAAGCACAAAGGCTCCTCAGTCACCGCGGAGGAGCCAGCTCCTGTTGCCCGCCCCGCCCCGCAAGCATGTCAGCTAATCCTCTGGCAAGGGCTGCCAGTTCCCACACACCTGAGCGGCGAACCAGACTGCCCCTTGCCTCTACCTGACGTGCACCAGTGCTCAGGACTTGGCCCACTTTCCTGTCCGTGCAGCCTGTCCCTCCAGGCCTTTTGGACTGGACTTCACTCCAACTCCTTCCTCAGCTCTTTTCCCACTGTGCGTTCTTGCTCATATCTGTCCAGTGCCTGGGCTCAGAAGACTCTCATCTCCTCTCCCCTGTGGCCTTGTGCAACTTATTACAGCTAGGTCACATCCTTCTGCCCTCGCTAGCTGTCTCCATAACCCGGGAGAGGATTGCCTCTCAACCTGGTCTATAATGCTGTTTTCTTTGACCTGCCCTCCCTCCATTTTAGCCTTACAATTTTTCTCACCCCTCTTGTGTCTCTCCAACATCATCACGGCACCCCAGGCCACTCGCTTGCCTCTTCTCATCCCTAGCCACTAATTCCTCTGGAGGGGCACCGGTGACGATGTCCAGGATCATAATTCTGCACTAGGAAAAGCAGGCAGCTGGCCAGGCAAAGACAAGGGTGGACAAAGAACAAAAAATCAAAGACCCTTCTCTCAAGAGTCATCTTGTTGCCTGCCAGCAAGGAAAAAGCCAGGGTCTGCTTGCTTACCAACTCTGATCTGTAAATAAGAGGGAAGACTGAGAAAGGGGACCACATTCAGAGCCAATGCTTATTTGGTGGTTGGGTGGGGAAGCAAGGGCAGAAAAGAACAGTACAGCTGGAAAATCAAGTGTGGAGGCGGGGAAAGAAGCTGAAGCATTGAGCAGGGGGAAGCTAATTAAGCCGAGACTGTCCTGAGACCTTATCTTGATGGGCTGAGTCCCCAAATGTACATGAGTATTTTCTCTGCCCTGCCTCCTTCCTGGACTTCCGCGTTGCCTTGGATGTTGTTCAAGGAGCCCTGGTCCAAGGCTAAATACTCTATTAGAGCTCTCCAGGTGCTAAGGAGGAGGGATTTAATGAAGAGCTGTGAAGAGGGGATCAAGATAGTAAGCCATAGAGAGTCTCATTTCCGAAATGAAGGAACTTGAGACTGAAGAGATTCAGTAAAAACAAAAATAAACTTGATGGCACAGAAAGAGAGAACATCAGATCTTTCCTTCCCTCCCTGGGCTGACAGCTCAGAGCTGGAGCAAGAAACCGGGGAGCTCTCAGGGCTCGGCCAGGTGATGACTCACGCGCCTCCACAATGGGAAGGCGACAAAGCCGAAACTCTGCTGACTCAGGCGTGACTTCAGCGCCAGGGTTAATAGCTGGCAGCCCTAATCTGACTGCCCCCACCAGCCACTGCCACCCTCCGATTCTCTCTGTCCTCGCTCAAATCCAGCCTCTTTTATCAGAGGGGTAGATGCCAGGTCATGGGAAATTACCAAAGGACACAAACTCTCTGGTCTTCTGTCCAAGACATGGTGAAAAATACACCCCTGCCAAACCATGCTGGTATTGGCCAGGCCTGCAATTCTTGTGAAGAAGATCAAAACTCCTACTTTCCTATAGTTTAAATGCATGCTAACCAGTCAGCTTTCTGACTGTGGTCTTGCTTTCCTCTTGTCTTTCTTCCCATTATCCTTTTAGTATATAACATATTACTGATATTTCACCACCTCTTTAAGTTAAAGAAACATGTTTTCTACTATTGCAAGTGGGAATGTCATGCTCCGTTCTACTATAATTTGTTCGAAGATAGAAACAACTTTTTTTTTTGTGACCAGAGAAATATGATATATGTTCTGGCAGCTCACGACCCTTCAGAGCTGACAATTAGGAAAAATCTTTGCAAACAACATGAACGCAAACACGGCACCCATGGCAATGGACAGACACCCTTTGCCAGCTGACTGCCTGTGATCTCTCTCGTAATGTGTTTTATCTTGCCCTAGAGATATTTCTGCAGGGAAGTGGAAGAGACTCAGACTTCCCAACTTTGTCTGG